AAAAAAAAAAAGCGTCTGGGATGAAGTTACACAAATGAACTGAACATTACAGAGTAAATTCCCCAGAGCTGACACTGGAAATCTAGTCAACCCCTAGAGAGCAGCTTCCACCCCTCCCTAAAAATAGGACTGCTCTAACACAGAGCACAACAGGACTACTGTGACACAGGCACACAGGACAGCAAACCTAGGGCCTCCTCACAGGAAAATGGGAGACTCAGAGGCTCCTAAGCAAAGCAGACGGCTGTTCTGCCCCAGACAAGGACACAGTCATCCTCCTTCCCTGGATCCCGGAGGGGCAGGTATAAACGAGATTACCAAGGGCCTGCCGGTGGAGTCCAGCTGGTCTTTTGTTCTCCTCAGCAAAAGACTCTTGGTTAAAATACTTAACCGTTCTCCTCCTTTCTTAGAACCATTGTCAACCTGACTCTTCCACAGATGGAACTCATCAAATGGAGAACAACGGAGAAATCTTTTTTGTTGGGGAAGAAAGACAGAGTAAGAAAGGAGAAGTATGGGAGGACGGAGCAAAGGTTCAAAGTAAGAGATAAGACAAAAAACAAATCAGATTTTCTATTATATCTGTCATCCAATCATTTTTAAAAGTGAATTTCATAGCAAAGCTCTGCTAGACAGATCAAAAGGATCCAACTCAATAACAAAAACCACATTATAAAAACGTGAATTTTCCCATTAACAATGTCTTATCCTCACAACAGGACATATAACCAATAGCTAGAATTTATTCCTAGAGCTTCAAATGCTAGCAAAGAAATTCCATATCCTCTTATGGGCTGACTTGAATAAAAGTGAGTACTTTAAAATCGGCATTCTTTTCTGTTTGCTTCAAATAAATTGTAGTCCTGACCCTAGACTATATGTTCTAAAGCAGAAATAGCCCAAAACATTCACTGGACTGAACAAAGATGACTTTTGTTTCCTCTAATTTAACCTGTCCTATATTTTTCTATATCTAGGGGCTGGATGTAATCCAAGTCCTATATCAGCCAGTCAATCAACAGATTATTTTCTCATAAATATTAATTCTTTTGCCTTTTAAAGGTTGACAGGCTTGCCATCTGCTACACAAGATAATCTGGCACACACCAGAGTTTTATCGTGAGATATGAAATAATTATGAAGGGTTACTGACAGGGTTCACATTTACATAATCCCAAAGAGTTTACTCACTTCAGCAGTGAATACATGTCCAACAAGTTGTTTTGAATGGGGGTTCCAGTGACAGCCCAACGGGCATGGGCTTGGAGCTTACACACAGCTATGGAAGTCTGTACTCGGGGATTCTTAACATTGTGAGCTTCGTCCAGTATGATTCGAGCCCAGACTATTCGAAGCAAAGGTGTTGAGATACCCTGGAAGAAACACAAGCAAAATCCACAACAGTATGGGAAAATGCACATGGCTTCAAGAAGACAAGGGGGAATAACAAACAACTATTGAGGACCCACTCTTACCTTCAAGTTTGAGGGCTTAGAGCTGGTACACTGAAATAAGAATCAAGCTTAAGAAACCAAGAGTGGAAACTCTCAATGGATACAAATAAACAAGTCATTTGAGAATCCCAGTCCTTGAGCTTAAGATGCTTAAGAGTAAAATGTTTTCTAATTTGAGTTTCCATTTATTCTTTTAACCCATTTTTGAGTAACGGCTATGGGTCAGGACTACACTAGGTGTTGAGACTGCAAATTCACTCATTCAATAAAATATTTACTAAATTCACTGAAAATTTACTAAAAGTCTACTTTTATATGTAAAATCCTAAGCAAGACACAGTTACACAGGACAATTCCTACCCTCAAGGAGTTCACAGTCTAGTAGGGGAGAAAAACAAGCATAGAGATAATTATGACACAATGTATATAGTAAATCCCACCGGATAATTCAATAAAAGACAGGAGGAATGCAGCCAGTCTTGTTCACTGCTGTAACCCTAATACCTGAAGTACCATCTGCCACGTAGTAGCTACCCAATGTTTGCTGAATAACTAGAACGCTACGACGTAGATAAGCACGAGGTGCCAGGAGAGG